AGAAAAAAAATGAATCAAGGATGATAGACATAATACTTTTGAGGAGCTAAGTTGTCTGTTGGCAATATAGTAGTGCAGAATATTGTAAAGGAATACAATTCAATACATAGAAAGTTAGAAACAGAAATAAGACAACGAAGACGTCGGAGTATGGAGAAAGCCTCAAAGCCTCAGAAAGGAAAACTCCATGGCAAAACAATAGAGCTCTGTCAGCAAGAAAGGAACAGGATAGTCAGATTGTTATCATTGTTTCAATGCCTGAGGCTGAGGGGAATATCTAAGTGTCATTTTTTTTTTTGCTTTGAGATATAACTATGGCCACCTCCAAAACCAAGGGTTGTGCTCCACAGTCCTACCGTCTTCACCGGAGTAGAACGCCCGGTGATTATCGCCCTATCTGGGCTGAAAGTTGTGCCAAAAATACAGCTATTATGACCGGGCGTTTTATTGGGGGTTGAAGACGGTAGTTTGAGGATTTTTTTAACTTAGGTGGGGCTCCACATCAAAACATTTGCTTCTTGGTTGAACAGTGCACAGGCGGTGTTCATGGCTGAGCGCACTGTGGGGCAGTGCGAATGAAAGGTACTCTCTCACTATAAAGACGAGGGCACCCCTTCTTGTTTCCCAAGTATTCTCCTCTTTTTTTTTTTTTTTTTTTTTTTTTTTGCTCCAAAACTTCGTATGTGGGAAAACCCATTTAACGAGGTGATAAGAGCAGCCTTGTTAAGTGGGCCCGAGCGTCGGAGGCTCCATCTATTGGTGGGGAGCTGCACCTGCTGGAAATCGGGTCTGGCATCCTTATGCAGTGATATGATGAGTGTCAGCTGGAAAATGGGTCCAACGTCGCTATACAATGATTTGTGGGAATGTGGTTATGTGCATCCAGTACCATGTGGTTATGTTCATACAGACTGTATTCGTTATACGGAGCCAAATCCCTTTTCCACCATATTTGCCATGTCTCTCTAGACAGCAGTCTGAGAGCCATTGATTACTTCCCAGCAACAGGGAAGGATTGACCTCCAGGACCTGCCATTGACGCCAAACCCTGAATCGGATGAAAAGCATCCCCATCAAACACCCCAACAAACAATCCTCCATCAGCCCAACAAACTATCATCCGACACGGAGCAAACAGGGCAACCATACTAAACCCTAAACAGTCCACCTCCCGCCTGAGGGCCGACCAGCACCCCTTCTTGATTGAAATTTCGGGCCGGGCAACTCCACTCAACATCGACTATCCTATTCTTATCCGCTGCCCGACAAAGAGGAGCAAGTCCACATCGAGATTCAAGGGGGTGAAGAATAATAAGACACTTTTTTGCAACGCCAATCCCCTCCCCGCCATCCTCGTCAGAACCCGGCATCTCTCCCGGGCTGCCGAGTCGATGATGAAATTGGTCGCACGAATAACGCTGCTGGTCCCGCCGCTCCCACGATCGCCGTCGCCAGTGTTGATATTATTGTCATTGTCATTTTTGTTGTTGCCACTGTACCCGTCGCCGTCCTTGTTGTTGTCGTTCAACACCAAGGAGGCCATTCGAGACTCCTATATGCAGATTTGGCAGGACCCCAACAAACTGTTTTCGCAAACTTTTCGGAACTGGACACCGCTCTCGATATCACATGGAAACCGTGGAGGAGAACGGGACCTGGTTGGCAGAGGAAAAACCCTTCAGTGACTTCCAGGTCCCGTACCTCCAGCCTAACTTCGTACTCCTCCCAAGCCCTGTGCCGCCTGCCCAGCAGCTCCCCTCCCCCCCCGCTCGGCCCACCATGCCCGTCGCACCCAATCCGGTCACCGCCCCGCCCCCCTTGCCGTCCCCCCACCGCGGCACCCCGTCCCGCCCTTGCCCTGCTTGACCTGCAGCTTTTTGGCTTGCATTGGCCACAACAGACAAGACGACGGAAATGCGAACAGTGGAGTGACTGGCAACAACAGGCAACAACAACAGCGATGATACCAAGACCAGAGCGACAACTCACGTCTCGCTGCCACAGGCCCTGCAGTGGGAACTCTGAAGACCGACGCACCCGAGGGAGCAGGGCCCTTGCACCATGTACACAGCTCTGACAAGGGATAAGGCGACCGCTCGGTCTACGGTACAAGGGTTCTCACACACCCAGTGACACATAAGACAGATTCAACTGTCCTGCAATAGCCTTGTCTCATGGTACTGCTCTCTGTTGCCACGGGCTTTAAGGATCAATAATGTGGCATGCATGGGTTTTGAGAGGGTATAGGGTTTAAAGGGTTTGAAGGAACAGAGTCAACAGACGTTGTAATAATGAACAGGGGGGCTGCTGAATAGGGCTGAGCAAATAGACAAGGGGCGCTCCAAGATGGGATGGGTGATACTGGCAGTTCCATGGGACAACGGAGCCCCGGACTGACAAGTGAAATGACCACAGCCTTTTTTTTTTTTTTTTTTTTTTTTTTCACTAACTAGAGCGAAGACGAGTTCTCCGTGTCTGTGGCCTCGTTTTTCCAAAAATGGCATTACATTACCAGGCACAGGGAGTGAAAACGTGGACATCCACTGAACAACTGATCAGTCTTGCCTTCAACTCATTCAGGAATTACACCCCTCCTTCGTTCACGTCTTCATAGGCAAGAATCTCCAACGCTCACACTGCCCGAATCACAGAGCTGGACACAATCTTGGCCTCAAGTTCCCTCAACTGCCACCTCATACCCGTCTGTGATCTCACCGCGAACTCTAGCCCACTCCACTGCAATTCACAGGGAGAATCCAAACCCGGTTGTGCCAATCAACTCGTTCAATCTTGCTCCAACATGGAGAATCTAGCTAGCTGGTCATTAGTTGCAAACACCTAAGGAGGCAGTTCCGTACAAGAGCCTCAGGGTGCAAAATGACACAGGAACAACAGGAGACAACCCCCCCCCCCCCACCTTGACACGGTATTGCCCACATTATCAATTATAGGACCGACATGTTGCCCACACGAGCGCCTCTTCCTGACCTTTAATCTCGAACCCTCTGGACCATTCTACCCAAAGGAAAGGCTGCAGAGGCCAGCCAAAATGTACTTTCAAATGCTGGCATTACGCCATTCGCAGGCGCATCTGCAGAGAGATCTCACCGACCTGAAACACATGGATACCACCTACCCAGCTACCGCCCTCGATGACAGACCATTCAAATTGACAACAAGAGAGGCCCCCGACGACAAAACCTTCTCCCCAAATCAGGATGTTTGCTGAAATGTTAGTTCTCATCATCAGACTCCTCCTCAGCTTCTTCCAACCACTTCACGAACGGCTCGAGGGACTTCACAAACATTTGCCTGCCCTTCATGAGGTTGCCTTTACAGAACCACTTTAGAATAACATCCTCGGACAGCACATCAAGATCGTAAAGCGCCCGGACAATCTCATGGAAGAGCTTCATCAACTTCGCGTCCTCATAGCAGTGGATCTGAATCTTATACATCAGCTCAACCTCAAGTCTGGGTGTAGTGCAGAACGCTCAAAGCAATTTATCCCACCGTTTGACCTGCCAGAGTGCATTGTTGATATTCTGCTGCTGGTTCTTGCCACTCCATTGCACCGCATCCATCATGGCCTCCCAGATGGTCTTCACAATGTCCACATCAGGCAGCTCTCCTTCCTTGCGCCGCTGCTTTACTAGCTCAATAGTTTCTCCAAGGTTTACAGGCCCTCCTTCACTCATAATTTCAGAGAGCGAAGTGTGCAGCTCCTTAAGCATGACATCGAAGACCTTCTTGCGGTTGTATTCAACAATTTCAGACAGGCCCTCTTTCATGAAATGCTCCGCAAAATACTCTGGGGTCCACTTCTGCATTAGGAAGAACTCCAGCATGCGGTCCTCCACCTTCGCCCTCTTCAGAAGCGCAACAAGCTCATCCAAGGTGCTTTCCTCGAGGAACACCTTAAACACATTTGTCACGAAGCCGAGACCGATCCCTTTGAAAGCATGGCATCATTGTACAAACATGTGAAGATGTTCTCCGGAGGAAGCACTGACAGCTTCTGCGAAAATGTGAGGGCAGTGAAAATTGCGAGCTTCTTGCGGTCTTCCGCGCCATAATGCTCAAGTGACTGCAATAACCGCCGCAAAACATTTTCAAGATTTTTGATCAAGAATGGCCTCCGCCGGATCATCTTCTGAATGAACAGAATATAAGGTAGGATACTCTCCTTTGTTGGCTCGCAGTTCAACACAGCGTATGGCTGCCGAGATGAGTCTTCCACCACGACAGTACTTCCAGCTGCCGTACGGCCACCTGTGAAAAACAACTCGAACAGGGTGTCGCCATAGCGCGAAAAATCGAGCTCATCATCAACTTCTATCTCTTTAGATATGAGATCCAAATCCCCCTGGTATTTAAGGCAGACATTAACAACATTATCCACGAATCTAGATGGATCCAACGGAACAGCGATGTTCCGTTTGCTGGTCTTGATCCACGTGCCGCCAAGAGTCGGCTTCTCCTTCAAGCTCATAAACTGGGTCGGGCTGACCAAAGGGGATTTGATGAGAAGTCTGAGAATAGAGCGAAGCGCACCGAAGGGACCGCCAATGATAAAACTGCTGACGTTACCAAACAACAGCCAACAATGAGAAACACCGCAGACAACTTGGCAGGGTCCGCTGGGCAGGATAATCCAAAAGGAACAAGTATCGCTGAGTCGTTGTGCTCCCGTACAAATGGTCACCCACTGCCGCTGAAAATTCTTGACCAAGTAGACTTGATTAGCGGAGATGTGGCCTTCGTTGAAGATTGGAACTTAAATCATCTCGTGTCGAATCATGACCTTAATTGGAAACTAATCTGGAGAGCAGCGAGCAACCGAGCAGCCGTCACGATGAGAAAAACGACCTGTACAGGGTGAACCTCAGTGACGGCGCTCCCAAGGTTCCGTGTCCCCGTAGTCTTCAGCCCGCAGCGCGCTTCCAAGTAGGCGGGCGATGACGGAGAACACGGTGTAGGTGAGGAGGAGAGGGGCAGAGCACTGCGAAGGTGCTAAGCTACATGAAGTACTTCGAGCCTCGGAGTGGGGCCAGACGGAACACGTGGATACGGAAGCACAGCGCTGAAAGCAGGTGCCAAGCAGGTAGGCTGCGCAGGCGAAGGCAGCCGAAATGACCACAGCCCTGGGAACAATGATTGGAAGTCTCTGTGTTGGCAGATGTATCCATGGGACGCGGGACCCTGTTTCCAGCAGGTGCCGCTCCCCACCAATAGATGGAGCAGCCCGGCAGATATGCCCTCACTTCTGACGGTTCTCTTACCACCGCCGGGATAGAGGGCTTACACAAGGGCTTTTTTTTGCCAAAAAAAAAAGAAAGGTTCACCAAAGCAATCGTAGCCAAAGCATGAATTGAAAGAAGTGTCCAGGATGTTGTAGAGGTCACGGACCGGACCCCCGGTGATTGCTGGCAGCAGCAGCCAATGATTGTCCTGACAGGATAGGCCTTCTACCCTACCCATTCCCATGTGCGCACCCTGTCCCTACTAGCCTCCCTCAGTGTGACCAGCACTCAGGACCGTCACCCTACCAGTATTGAGGGCAACTCGGACCAGACAGCAGTGACAAGCACCAACGCTGGGCCCTATTGGAAGCGGAAGCGGACGAACCTTGCCGTACGGGAACTTTGGATGCCAGGCTCATGCAGTCTTCTACAGGCCCAATATCAGAGAGTCTACCCAGCAGGAGTACCTAAGCAACCACCCACGGACATATCCTACCGTCCTTCCCCTAACTTACCCAAGGCTAGGCAGAACTCACCCTAGCCGGCGCGACTTATATCCCTACCCTACCCCAGAGCGAAGCCATGCATGAGTAGGCCCTGTCATGTACCAGCAACCCTGTTTAACCTTTGTGCTGAACCTAAATCATGGCGAGTAAGTGCAACCATGATGCCGACTAGCCAAATCCGTGGCAGATGGCGAGTACTGCAACCAGGCCCACAATAATGGGACACTGGACCCATTTCTCAGCAGGTGCAGGTCCCCACGAGTAGATGGAGCCTTCACACTGGGTGCCCCGAGTGGAGTCTTGTTCACCAAAAAAAAAAAAGGATGGGCAGGAGGAGGGTTACTGAAATGCTGCTGAACATTTATCATTGGTTCTGAGTCGTCTGACTATGTGGAAAGGGAAGCTGGACCTGTCAGGTTTCCAGCAGGTGCAGCTTCCCACCACCAATAGACTGGAGGCATCGCAATAGAGGGCAAGCCCATTCAAGTCCAGGTTGTTGTAGACGTTAGCCACCAGGCATATGACAGTCCCTTCAGCAGTTGACCAATTGATCATCCACTGCATACAGATGATTTTTCTGTACAGGGCCCCTATGAGAATCCCTCCCACCCCTACTCATCATTACTGTCCCCGGTGCATCCCTACTCCCAAGGTCCTACCTTAGTGGATTTTTACTAGGCTACCAGCCGGGCGGCCGCCCGGGTCCCGGGTGGCCCGCCCGTGCAAGGACCAGGGAAGGTCCCAGCAAAAAAAAAAAAAAAAAAAAAAAATCCGAAAAAAAAACTATGTTATGCAGAAAAATAAACTGAACAACAATTGCCTCAGGGTCACATCGAAATTCTTCACCGAACTTAGAATAAAAAATAACTTTTTTTTTTTCCATTTTTTTGGGCCCGGCCGGGCAAGTGACCCCGGGCCACTCTGGTAGCCTAGGATTTTTATTTATTTATTTATTTTCTTATTCTTCTTTTAAAAAGCCCAGGGTGTTGTAGAGGCCAAGGACCAGACCCGCGGTGATTGCTAGTAGCAGCAGCCAATGGTTGTCCTGACAGGATAGGGAACCTACCCTTTCTTTTTTTTTTAATTAAAAAAACGGGCCCAGTGCCCAAGGCTTGTATTACTCAAAGAATAGAATCGAGGCCGGGGTCCTTACCTGAAAGAATAGAGTGGACACACTGGCAGCCTCAGCCAGTTTAGTTTATGAGAACATCAGAAAAAAGTCACAGTGCTGGAAAACGGGTCCAGCGTCCGCTGCTTCTGGCTAACTGATCAAAAAAAGGGAGGTCTGCCTCTTCGTCCATCTCGCCGGATGCCAGAATTACACAGAAAGCTAGCAGCCCCTCCACTACCTCCTGGTCTGGCTCGGAAAACCGGAAGGAGCCACTGGGGGGCACCAGCGGGTCCTCCTTCCATCTTCCGGCCCGCCTCGGGATCAGTCTTAGACTGTCTTTTAGACAAGAATTTCCGTCAAGGAGAGGGCGTGGGGAGGGAAGGGGTCTGGGAAGCCCGTGGAGGGCCGCAAAGGGAATGAGGGTTCCACCTGGGTCCAGTCCTTAAAAACTATTCTGTAGTCCCTTATTATTTCCAGATCCTGCTGTCCACCTACCCTATCCGCGCCCCATGTGACTTTTGCTACCCATCCCTTCCCAATCTCCACCCAACCAGTCCGTACAGAAGGCTGTAATCACTCTCCTGATGTCCGTGATTTGTGAGAAGAGATCCAGCTGGGACTTCGTGTCGGACCACCTTCGCATGAGTGCCAGCTGTATTTGTTGTTTGATTTGTTCAGTAATTTCCTCCCCTTCTATCCTCGCTTTATCTAAGGCCAAAACACACCTCTGCTCCCAAAGAGCCCACATCACCGCCCTCCTGCCTAGCCAAAACATGTTCTCAACAAACACCGAGCTTTCTCCTGCCAAAGGCCAGTGGCCAACCAGGATGGCCCGCCATGACCATGGCCAGGGAATCTCCGCTACTATCTTCCGCCAAATACGGTCCCACCATCGCCATGTGAATTGAGCTGTTGGGCATTGCATAAAAATATGCTCAATAGTCTCTGCTCTCTTATGGGTGGGGAAACATGTTCAGTCATCGCTGACACCACGGCAGTGCCAGACCCCGCTGCTCCAGGTTGGTGCGGTCTATTAGCCGGTCGTTAGGAGGCAGACAGTGGTGCACTATCTGCCACTGCAGGGAGGATATTTTCGCAGGTTTAGACTTCTGGCCTTTAAACCAGCGGATCGGGGTCAAGAGGGAGTGGTCCACATTGAGCTGTTTGGCCCAACGGTCTGTAACCTCTTCCCGTAGATGTCGTTTAGGCCTATACATCTTGCAGGTAGATTTGACTGACAACTTGTGGAGGTTTATATGATCCGTTGTGCCCTCCCCCCTTCTCTGGGGGAGCGCCCAGGTCCATTCCACTGGGTCTAGGGCCAACTCCTGTATAGCCCACTGTGGTTGAAAGACCACTTTCTCCCCTCTCTCTTCCATGACTCAGATCCAATATACCAATGTGTTCTCTACCCATTCAAAGGGGACTCTACTTCCGTTGAGGGTTCCCCTTCGTGTGATAGCATAGAGCTCCACCAGGACCATGTGTGGGTCTACAATATGGATCTGACCGATTCCTGGCGGTACCCCCTTGATCGCCACCCAATCTCCCTCCTTACGGGAGGACCCTTGTTTGAGGATTCGATACCATGCTAGCGGGACGGTCTCAATGAGGTTTTCTAGGTGTTTCTCTATATGATGACAATGGTGCAGGGTATCTTGCAATTGGTCCGATGTTTTCCAGTTTCGTCTCTCCTGGTCCCAAAGGTTCCCTACTCTGAGCACTCCCCGCTTAACCCAACTCTTCCATGGCAGGGCAGAGCTTGATCTGGTGCAGCCCCTCCGGTCCATCAGCCAATGGTTTCTAAACAAGGGTTGACGATAAATTTCTTCCCTGCGGTCCAGTGGGGGTCTATCGGGGAGCGGAAGCCGCCGCTACACGGCCAGCAGAGATGTCAAAAAATTGTCCCTTGGCTGGTCTCCTCTTTCCTGTTCAACCTGTTCATTCTGCTCAACCCCCCTTCGTGGAATTTTGCGCGGGATTGTTCAAGAACGATCCTCCAGGCACATCAAAGGATGCACCCCTCGAGGGGCGGCTGGGGCCATGTGGGCCAGATGCTCTAAAGCCACTACGCACCATGGGCTGTGGGGTGAGAAAATCAGTTTTTTCACCCATTGTATTCGCAATGCCTGAATTTGTGTACCAGGGTCTATGATCCCTAAGCCCCAACGGGCTTTAGGCTGAATAACTGAATCCCACGCTACCTTGCTGATAGCCTTGCCATTTTCACTATCCCCCCTCCAAAGGAAGGTCGTTGCCTTTCTTTTAAGCTTCGTCAATGCTCCCTTACTCAGTGGCCAGAGCACCGACTTGTACCACAGGGCTGCAAAAGCGACGTTATTGATGACCAACGCTCGACCATAAAGGGAGGTGTGCTTGTTGTTCAGTTAAGGAGTTTTTGCAGGGCGGGGGTACTTACCCATTCGTCATTAGTTGGTGGGCATCCAGTTGCCGTCATGGACACTCCTAGAATCCTCGGTGGGGGTTTTAATGACATCCACACAATCTACGGCGAGTCTGGGGGCGCCCCCCCTGATAGTGGATCCACCACCCTTGTGTCTTACTCCCCCAATTCACTTTCATGTCAGAGACCTTTGTGAACATTTCCATCATTTTCTGAATTTCGTCCAAGTTGTTGTGTGTGGTCTCTACCATGATTGTGATATCGTCTACGAAAAGGAAGCAGACGGGAATGGCCTCCTCTGGTATTTGTGAGATTCGGATCCTAGTAATGCTCTTATGGGCCCAAAGGTTGACAATCAGTGTCTCCATAATACTAAAAAATAAAAACGGGGCAATCGGGTCACCCTGGCAAACCGATCGTTCCAGCCTTAGAGGCGGTGTCAGACTCCTATTGACTTGGATGTAAGTGGTTGCATTCTGATGAAGGATTCGAACCCACCGCCTGAATATCAGCCCAAAGTTCATTTTTTCCAAACTTTTATCCAAAAAAAGTCAGTCGTCGTGATCATAGGCTTTTTCAAAATCCATAAAGACCAAGGCTGCATTTTGGCGAGTGTGTCGGGCTAGCTGTAGGACCTCATGCACTAGGAGGATGTTCTCTTGTATATTTCTGTTTTGCATGAACCCAGTTTAAGATGCGTGGATAATGTCCTCCATTACTGGGATCATTCGATTGG